CCAAAATCTCAGAGCAAAGGAGAAATGGAAAAAGGATTGACAGCATTCCATGCCTCATGGGGCGGGCGGGGGGTAGGGGGAGATTCCCTCCCCTCCTTCTGTGAATTTAGGTGCCCTCTGGCAAATTAAAAAACAAAACAAAACTCTTTTTCTATATTATGTTCTTCCATTTCTTGGTCCAGTGGGGAGATTTTTCTTACTTGCACTAAAATCAGGTGACATTTTTATAATCAACTTTATTTTTTAAATTAGCATGAACCTATTCTGGGGGAGAATTCAGAATATACTCTTTGTGCCAGTTTCACAAAAGGAGGGATAGCACCCAATGAACCAGAAAGAAAGGTTTGCCTATGATATACACTAGATCTGTAATTCTTTTGTTAAACAAAAATGGCTTTGAAAATCTCTTTTCTTTGCTAATGGATAATTGCTACAAATTCAATTCTATTGAGCCAGCAGGTGGCATAGAAGTTGGGTCACTAGACCCAACATGGCCAGCTTTTGGTTCAAGTCTTAAACCCAGGAGCTTCAGAATCACTCTAGGCACATGTGAATGCATGCCCAAAATCCTGAGAGGAAAGTGGAGAATAACGGATTGTGGCGTGGCCATCCCCTCTTCCCCCCACATCCACCCTCCTCTAAAGAGAGGGACATTTCTCACTTTCTCACACTGTCTCTCTGGTGACTGCACACTCCCTAAAACAAAAAACTTTTTAAAAAATTAAAAGGTTATTATTTTATTTATTTAAAGGATTTTGCCTTTGGGTGTGTGTGCTTGCCAGAGAGAAAGAGACAGAGATGGTGAGGAGGAAAGTGAAAAATTCCCCCTCAAAGGAGATGGCTATGCCACAATTGCTTTTCCTCTATATTCCTCCCAGGATCTTGAGCGCATATACACATGTGCCCAGCGTGAGTTTCAAACCACTGGGTCCAGGACTTAACTGGGTTTGACCATGTGAGAGTCCAGTGATGTACTGCTATACCACCTGCTGACTCCTTAAATCTCATTATTTTCTCATTAACTAATTAGCCTAGATAGTATTAGAACTGCCTTATTTGTGTGTTTTTGTTTGTTTGTTTGTTTTAAGAATTATCTAATTATTTTAATTTTCTATAGGGCACTTGCTCACCAGAGAGAAATGAGAGGGAAAGTGACAGAGCAAGCCACCATATTTGGGACGCAAAGTGTGGTTGGCCATGTGGGAGTCCAGCATCCCCAACCACCACACCCTGCTAGCCCCATAAATGAACTTAAATTTTTAAAAAAATGAAAATGTTCGGTAATTGAGTACTGCTGGAGATAAGTTCTATTGTGTTGTACCAAATAGTGCAATTTTGCCTGCCAGGAGCAGCAGATGGCAAAGCTGTGACATTAGGAAGAAGGTGGTAGAGACAGTGGATCATCATCTGTGCTCAATAGAATGGTAGTGAAGGGAACCAGCAGTTAGCATAATGGCTACGTTGCTGGATTCCCACATAGTCGACCACGGTTCGCATCCTGTACCCTGTGGCTTAGAACTCAGGCCGGGCACGTGTGCTTGAGTGCCCAAGATCCCGAGAGGAGAACGGAGGAGAAGGGATTGCAGCATGACCATCCCCCCTGGGGGGTGATTTCTCGCTTTCTGTCTCTATGTCTCTCTCTGTCTGGCGAGCACACGCGCCCTATAGCAAAAACCTCTCCAAAAGAAAAAAGAAAAAAAAAGAAAAGAATGGTATTGAAGATGGAAGTGAAGAAGAACTCTAGAAACCATTGAGGTGCAAGGCCAAGTATAGTTAGCAGTTATTGAGAGCTAGTTAGGAATAGGAGTTTGGTCTCTTGCCATTTCAAAGATGGAGCAGTTTATGGATCCCAAAATTCTACCCATAAGCCTGTGTCATATGGGTAGAAGACAAATGGATTAGAAGTAAAGATCATTGTTGGGTTACAGTTTAAAGGAGCATTATCAGAATATTGACAGATGAATGCATTCCCCAAATCTAGTTATTTTACATTTCCAGAAGTGGTATTACTGGGTCAAAGAAACTCCCTTGCTAAAAATGTTGAGGCATTTTGGCATATTGCCCTCTGGAATTTTAGTTATATGATACTCTCTGAGATGATTTTTCTTCACACTTAATCCCCAAAATTATTTGAAACAGTCTTTTTCAGGTTGAAAGTCTACTGGATTAATAATGTGTGATATCAAAGTTTGTGGTTTTGGTTACTAATGAGTTGAACTTTTCTGTTTATTGACTGAAATTAATTTTGAATTGTGTGCTCTGTTGGCACGTTTCTCCACAAACCATTTTATACCTTTTCTCACTTCTTTATTTGCATTTCTTGTCTTTTTTTTCTAAGTTACAAGCCTAGCTTATTAATTTTTCTTCTTTGTTCAATAAAATGTTTAGTGTTAGTCTACGATTACTTTTTTTTTTTTTTTACAAATTTGCAAGAAGGTGCATGTGCTCAAGACAGAAGTGACAAATCACCCTGCAAGAGGGAAGGTCATGCCTCTGTCCTTTCTGTTTCTCCCCCTCAGAATTTTGAGCATGCACACACATGTGGCCAGTGTGATTTTTCAAACCACTTGGTCCAAGACTTGAACCACACAGTTGGATACCTTCAACCACCTTGCCACCAGCCTGCTCTGATTACTTCATATAAATATTGATGTATACAAAGTTCTCTTTTTCATCTTTTTAATCTTTAATCACAGTTTTTGATTCTTCAAAACAAAATTTATTTGATTATAAATGATTGGAGGGCTTCTTCCCATCCTGCTATTTTTAATTTGTAGAGATATTTTTTTCTGCCCCCTTGTCCTTTTTTGATATACAGAGCTGGAGAATGGGTGGGTTATTTATTTAGATTTTTAGAAATATAGTAAAATACTCTTTATGACCTGTAGTCTTTTATTCTTAATGAATAATTTATTTCATTTTATTTTTAAATTTGGTATAGAGCACATGTGCTCACCAGAGAGAGAGAGAGAGAGCGAGCGAGCATGGCACCAGGTCTGAGACTCTAACCAGGGCTCACCATGTGGGAATCCAGCACCTTAACCACTATGCTACCCACTGGCCCCATGACCTACATTCTTAAATATTCTATAGGTGCTAGAAATAAAAGTATAGTTTCTGTTGGATAGAGAAATACATATCAACCTGTCTTTTAAAAAGTTACCTGTGACCAGCAGTTGGTGTAATGGCCATGTCGCTGGACTTCCACGTAGTCAACCATGGTTCGCGTCCCAGTCCCGGTGGCATAAACTCACGCTGGGCATGTGTGTATGCATAATTTTGAGTAGTTAATGGTAGTTTTGAGTCCCGGGCGTGCCAAGATTCTGAGAGGTGACAGGAGAAGAAGTGATTGCGGTGCGGCAATCTCCCCTGGGGTGTGATTTCTTGCTTTCTATATCTCTGGCGAGCTCACACACCCTATAGTAAAATTATCTCTCTGAAGAATGATATTCCAGGACTGGCCCATAGTCTGATGTTATGGGAACCAAAGCCCACATGGCTAACCATAATTTGAATCCCAACCCTGGCAGCTTGAAAAGCATGCTGGGACATGTATGCATGTGTACCCTAAATCCTGGCAGGATGGCATTGTGACCATGTTCTATTTGGGGTGGTGGTGTGGGGGGGTTGGTGAGGGGTGGGGTGGCCTTTCTACCCCCCTTTCTTGCTGCCTATGGTGAGTGCATATACCCTCTGGTAATTAAAAATAACGAGATTCCTCCTCGCTTATTTTATTTCTTCAATTTTTTGCCTCATATATTTTTATTCATATATTTCTATGCTATATTCATCTGTTTACTCAGCACTTGAGAATTGAGCCATCCCACTATGCGTGTTAAACCGTTATGTACTATTCTAAAAGCTAAGTTCATTCATAATGATACTTGTGGTCTGTAATTCATTTGTGGTTTTCACCAAGTAATCACACTTGTAAATACTGCATCTCTTTCCTTCCTCTGTAAACAATGAATTTGAAAGGAAATTTACCTTTTTGCCTTGGAGGACTCCCACTGTGCTCTGCCTTCACTTTGCTGAGTTAGGGCTAGTCCTTTAGCATGTAGGATTACAGTTCTCAAGCTTTTGGGTTTCAAGGACTTTTTTTTTTTTTTTGGAGAGATTTTTTTCTTCTTGGGCGTGTGCACTCGCCAGAAGGACAGAGAGAGACAGAGAGGTAGAAAGCGAGAAATCACCCCCCAGAAGGGGTGACCACGCTGCAATCCCTTTTCCTCCATTCTCCTCTTGGGATCTTGGGCACGCGCACACACATGCCCGGCGTGAGTTTAAGCCACCGGGTCCGAGACTCGAACCGCGGTCGACTACATGGGAGTCCAGAGACATAGCCATTACACTAATTGCTGGTCCCATCAAGGACTTCTTTACACTTAAAATTTATTGAGGGCACCAGGACCAGCGGATGACATAATGGTTATGTTGTTGGACTCTCATGTAGTTGACTGGTTCAAATCCTGGACCCAGTGGCTTAGGGAATGACATAATGGCTACATTGTTGGACTCTCATGTAGTTAACTGTGGTTCAAATCCTGGACCCCGTGGCTTAAAACTCAGGCCGGGCGTGTTGTGTGTGCATGCTGAAAATCTGGAGAAATCTCAAATACAAAACTGAGCTAAGTGAAAACTTTTTAAAAAGGGGACCAGTAGATAGCATAATAGTCATATCACTGGACTCCCACATAGTTGACTGTGGTTCGGGTCCCAGACCCAGCAGCTTGAAACTCACACCGGGCGCGTGTACATACATACATGACCAAGATCCTGAGATTGGGATGGAGGAGAAGGGATTGCAGCATGACCATCCCTCCAGGGAGTTTCTCTCTCTCCAGTAAGCGCACATGCCCTGTAGCAAAAATCTCTCTATATAAACTTGGAATATAAATTACATGTCTTTATCCAATTCAGTATACTATTTTTCTATCAGATGGTAAAACTCTATGATAGGTATGGTTCAGGAGACAGGTGTTCATGGCCCCAAGTTGGTCATAATGGCAAGTGAAGAAATTAATGAAGACTATCCAGTAGAAGTTCATGAGTATTTATCAACATTTGAGAATTCCATTGGTGCTGTGGATGAGATGCTGAAGGCCATGATGTCTGTTTCTAGAAACAAGTTGTTGCAGAAGTTGGACCCACTTGATGGAAAGTGGGAAGGAGGAGGATTGAGATTTTTGTGATAGATGCCTACTTTGGAGAGCAGAGTAGCAGTGATACTACAAATCTGTTTCAGGATAATCGGTATAGAAAGGGTGATTTATGTGGTATTTGCAAAGTAGTACCCTGCTCTAAAACTTGTCTTAAAAGATGGATTTGGGTTCCAGCTTCCTGTAGCAGTATGATATGGGGCAGGCGATTTAACCTCTTTATTTCCATTTCCCTGTCAGTAAAATTGAGTGGCTGGTGTTTCCGTTGGTCCCAGTATGTGAAATTGTGTATGTTAATGTACTTGAAGATAAACAAACATTCCCAGCTTTTTTATTTTGGAAGTATACGTCATTACTTTCTTGTTGTACCAGAGAACTCTTTTTTTGTAATTCCTTTTATCAGACAGTTTTTCAAATAAAGCTCAGAGTATTCTACTTACATAGCTTTAAGAAGTATTCTGGGAGTGGAATTTTTTGCCTAGATTCTTCTGCCTTTAATGAAAGTAGTTAGGTTGAAGCACACGGGAAAGTCAAGTCTCCTTGCTTTTTACATCCCTGTACCACCCTACCTGTCAGTTATCAAAGTTGATTGGGCTCATTTTTAAATACTGAATGAGCCTATTATCACATAAGTTTAGGAATTGAAGAGACATAAAGGCCATCTGTGTATAGTTTCTCTGTATATTATAGATGAGGCATGCGAGAGAAGCCAAGGTACTTGTTTCAGACCATTTAAGTTGTCCAGTGGTTCTCAGCTTTGGTAAAATTTGGAAGTACCCATAAAAATTCTAAAAAACTACTGATGTCCAGGCCCTAACCATATAGACTCTGGTTTCATTGGTCTGTATAAAGCCTCCTTCCTGGGATTATAACAAAACATTACAACACTCTTAAAGTGCATCATTTGCCTTTTAACATTCGTAATTATCATTTAACATGGAAGAAATTGTTAGTGAGACCATTTTATTTTTTAGATCAGAGAGCTTAGCTCTACTTTTTTCCTCTTTGAGAAATAAGCCTATAAACTTCAAACAAGTCGAACTTACTGTTTGAAACCTTTATTTTAAATTATCGATTCAACTAGTAAAGTGTTAAAAATCTACAAATTTGTAATAGATGGCATTAAAATAATAGGTTAAAGATGAATCTTTTTGATACAGTAGAGGAAAGACATGACCTTAGAGTTTTGGGAAGCAGTAATAAAGTGTATAAAAGGTTTTATCTCGCGTCATTTACCCAGATTCCTTATTGTTATTTTTTGTTTAGGCCTTTTCAAAGAATCTTTTTTTTTTTTTTCTATAGGTGAAAGCCCTGAAAGAGAAGATTGAATCTGAAAAAGGGAAAGATGCCTTTCCAGTAGCAGGTCAAAAACTAATTTATGCAGGTATGAATTCAATGTTGAAATTAAGATACCATGTCTTGCTGACAATATGATACTCTTTTAGGAACAATATTTTCCAAATTGTAGTACATTCAAATCAATTCTTCAGAAGCGTGATTGCGCACATAGAAGCAGTGAAAGAACAGTCATTTGAATATACTAATATTCAGTCTTCTCTTTGTTTATACTTGTCCTATGTATTTTCCATCCAGTGATGTTGAGTTTGTTTAGGTTTTATCTTTTGTAAGCATAATATAACTGGCTTCTGTGTTTTTAATCACATTGAATGAGCATCTTTTTTTGTCTATTGAATTGAAGTGATTTATACTGATTATTAGTATACTTGGAATTATACCTATAAAATTAAATGGCAACTTATGTGTTTTTTAAATAAACAGCCAAAATCGACTGAAGAATATAGGAAACCTTATATGTCAAAAGGTACTTAAATGGGGCCAGCAGGTGGCATAGAGGTTGAGATGCTGAACTCCTCACGTGGCCTGCTGTGGTTCAAATCCTGGCCCTGGCAGCTTGCTTTCTCACTTTCCCTCTCTCTCTCTCTCTCTCTGTCTCTGGTCAAATAAATACAACGATGATGAATAAAGTAAAATAATTCTTTAAAAAAAAATACTTAAGTAATGGGGTGGGGAGGAAGATTAATATTCAGGCTATAGTTTTTAGAAATAAAATTAAAAGAAAAAGAAATCAATAAGGAAAGGATGCGCTAATAAAAGAAATAAAGGATAGGAATAAATTGCAATTTTAATTCATCTCACTGGTAACCCAGAAAATATTTCTTAAAGGGAAATTTTATATTGTTCTCTGATGCTGAACCATGTAGGAAGGTTCTGGGTTCCTGTCCCAAGGTCTTCTTGGGTACTCCGGGCCCATATGTCTATATGCCAGTGCTGTGGACTGTCTGAGGCAGTGTCTTTAAAAATAGGTATCAAATTCAGTAGGAAAAGGGTTCTTGTTCTTCAAAGGAAATCCTGGACACTGTCGTTGGTTTTGATATTGTAGTTCCTGTGTAGGTGAGTCTTTGTGGATTGGGTAGAGAGTTTGTAGTATTTTCTTAACTTAGAGAGGTTAGAGAAAATGTTAGTCTGGCAATTTAATACCACCATTTTTTACAGATCAGAATTTAGAGGCCTAAAGAAGTAGGCATAAAACTCAAAATTGCCAGTTCCTGGTCTCGGTCTCTATTCTCATTCCTATTCTCTTTTCTGCCTTAATGCTTATAGCTTTTGATTTAATATACACATTTTTTTCTTTTCTCTCTTTCTTTTTTTCCCCAAGGTTTTTACAGTAGTGTGTATGGTGCCCTCTGGAAAAAGAAAGGGAAGTGAGAAATCACCCCCCAGGAGATATGGACATACTGTAATCCCTTCTCCACTCTCCTCTTGGGGATTTTAGGCATGCACACACATGTTTCTGGTGTGAATTTCAAGCTGCCAAGTCCAAGACTCAAACCATGGTTGGCCATGTGGGAGTCCAGTGCTTTAACTACCACACTGCCTACTGGCCCCATTAAATAACTTACTAAGAATGAAAACCTAAAACTCAAAGAAGAGATCCTGACATAACATTTGACCTTCGGTGTGACTGCTCTCTTACATAATTCTTTGTGTGTTAATGTGTTAATGAGTTAAGTACATCTTGCCTTTTCTTGTTATGCTGTCATTTTCTGAAGTACCTTTTAGTATCTTATAGCATCAGAGTACTTCTGATTTGTCAGGTAACTTATTTTGGAGAGCAGGAAGTTTGTCACTCCTCTTCTTCTCCTGTCAGGAAAGAATATGGGTTATTTCCCATTGAATTCTTTTTCTTCATGATCTCTACTTTCTCAGGGCCTATTTCATGTTTTCTCGCCCAGCAAATCTGTATAATTACAAGTAGGGCATTTAAAAGGTTGGCATTCTCTATACATTATGTATTTTGACATCTTTTTGTTCAATGCTTATGCCTTTGTAACTAATGCGTTTCCATTTATATTGGTATGTTTATCTCGACTGGTCATTGTTTTTCTTCGAAAAAATGTTAATTGATAGAATTGACATTTGTGATCAATAGGAAGTTGTTTTATAATGACTTTAGTTATGTGTATGATAAAGATTACTGTACTTTATTAACTTTTTTCTTACTAGGAAAAATCCTCAATGATGATACTGCTCTCAAAGAATATAAAATTGATGAGAAAAACTTTGTGGTGGTTATGGTGACAAAAGTAAGTTCCAACCTCATTCTGTATCATTATGCTTGTAAGCTGTAAAAAGCAATCATCCCATAGACACAATGTATACACATCCCTAGCCTCTGATCAGTCATAAAGTTACTAATTTTATACAGTTAGAATTATATAATTTTATGTAAATTAATTAAAATATAAAATGTCATATTAAAATTATTCTTGCTGGAGTACTGAAGTCATTAAAATAATCAATTATATAATTCTTTAGAAACTGAATGTTTCTAGGACCAGTAGGTTATGACCTGGTTATGTCATCGGATTCCCACATAGTTGACCGCATTTGAGTCCCAACCTGGTGGCTTAAAACTCACACTGTGTGTGTGTGTGTGTGTGTGTGTACATGCCCAAAATTCCAAGAGGAGAATGGAGGGGAAGAGATTGCAGAGTGGCCATACCCCCCCCCCCCCCCCCCGCCCGGGCGCGCCCCCCAGAGGGGGGGCTGATTTCTCACTTTCTATCTCTCTAACGAGGGCACACACCCTATAGCAAAAATCTCTCCAAAAAAAGAAAGAAAGAAAGAGAAAGAAATAGAATGCTTCTTATTTTCTAGTTTTTAAATAAGGAGTGCCTTGAAAGGACTTGGTAAATTAATTACTACTACATCTGACAAATTCCTCAGGGCAGAAAAGGAATGTAAGTTTTCAGTGATAATTCTTAGTGAAGTAGTAGACTTTTAGAACCTTAAAAAAGGAAAAGACAACTAAAGACATGAAACCAGTTAATCTACTGGTTCAAATCCAAAAGTAGAGTAAACCTGTTCTTTGTTTTGTTTTGTTTTTTAAGTTGGAAAATAATTGAGAGTAGTAGAAAATAGAATTCAAGAAATAAATTTTAATTACTGTGTAAATACATTTTTATTGGGAAACAGATGGCTAAACATATTTTGGATTTTAAATTTTTTATCTATCTGGAAACATATTTGCTGTGTTTAAGTACTTATTAAATGTTAAAGTTCATAGAGAAGCAGAATCATGTCAGGAAGTCTAAAAACATCTTTAGTTTTTGTTTATTTATTTTAGTGTAAAATATGTATACCACAAAATTTGCCAGTTTAACCATTTTTAGGTGTACACTTCAGTATTAAATAGTCACCCTGTTGTATAGTCATCTCCACCATCCATCTCTAGAACTTTATCATCTTTCCAAACTGAAGCACTAACTTTCCATTTATTTTCCCCCCAGCACTGTCATGCATTATTTCTGTCTCTGAATTGGACTATTCTAGGTTCCCTATACAAGCAGAATCTTGCAGGATCTGTCTTTTTGTAACCGGCTTATTTCACTTGGCATTATGTTTTCAAGATTTACCTGTATTACTTTATGTGCCAGAATTTCCTTCCTTCTTTTGGCTGAATAATAGGCCATTTTCTTATCTAGTTTTAGCATGTGTAGTTCATAATGGAAAATGTGATAGGCACACATTTGAATGTGTTTTCTTATTAGTTTTACTTCTTTATTATAGTAATTCTGACTATTCAGAACATAACTTAAGAATTAAGCAGAAAAGGACCCAATTGGTGTGTCTATTTGAGGACCAGCTATTTGGAGGCAATTTGTTTTTATATAGGGTGCTCATATTCGTGGTGGTTTTATTTTTAAGTTAATAGTTGAGAGGTCAACTATGAGAAGAAAGGTGCTACAGTTAGGCATCATGGAAGCAGTGAGGAATGCCATTACTACGGAGAAGAGAGGAAAAGGCAAGAAGAAAAACTTCAAAAAACATAGATAGCGGCTTGATACTATTTAGAATAAGAAATGCTCTTCACTGACTTTTGAGACCTTAAAGACATAAGACATCAATATAATCAGTATTATATTGATTACAAATAATGAAAGCATGAAATGGCTATAATACATTTAAAATATTTTTTTATCTACATTGGTTGTTACAAAGACTTGTTTAAAAATCTAAACTTAACTTTTGTGAAGCTCCAGTTCATACAGAATAACTTATTACCTGAGGATTTCAGTTCATTTGAATTTTAGGACATTAATATGCAGAGCATTATATTAAAAAAGTTAAAGGACTAGGAGTCAGCTGATGGCATGGGTGGCTTGGGTTACTGGATTCCACATGGTCAGCTGTGTTGTTCAAGTCCTGGATCAGGCGGCTTGAGGGACATGCTAGGTGTGTGTGCATGAGTACCCAGAATCCTGAAAAGAGAATGGAGGCAAAGAGATTGAGGCGCAGCCATTTCCCTTGGGAAGGATGATGTCTTACTTCCCCACCTCCCTTGTCTGTCTCTTTCTGACAAGCACACACAATCTATAGATAAAAAGAAAATGCCAACAATAATAGAAACAACAAAAGTGTTACAGAACTAAATAGTCTTAGAATAGGAAAAGGAGGGAGAAAATGCTACTTGTGTGGTTTTTTTCTGTGTATGTGTGTTTCTTTTTCTTTTTTCTTTTGTAGTTTGCTATAAGTCACGTACACTCACTAGAGAGAAAAAGAAATCACCCCCTGGGGGATTGGCCATACCTTCATTCATTCTTCTGGGATTTTGGTTATGCACATACAAGCGCCCTTAATGTGTTTCAACAAGCTGCCAAGTCTGGGACTCAAACTGTGCAGTTAGCCATATGGGATACAGCCACGTTAATCTCCATGTTGCCTGCTGGCTTGCTACTTGGGTCTTTTTAAAGCCTCCTCTCTCAACTTTGCACTAGCCTCTTATTGGTTTTTTTTTTTTTTTTTGGAGAGGTTTTTGTTATGGGGTACGTACGCTCACCATAAAGACAGAGAGAGACAGCGAGCAATCACCCCCTGGGGGTGAATTAGAAATCAGGAAGTAATATATTTTATCATAATTGTTTTTCTCTTTAATGTGTTTAGCCCAAAGCAGTGACAACACCAGCACCCACTACAACTCAGCAATCAAATCCTGCCACCACTACCACAGTTACTTCCTCCACAGCACCAGCTGTGGCTCAAGCCCCAGCCCCGACTCCTGCTTTGGCTCCTGCTTCCACACCTGCATCTATCACTCCAGTGTCAACAACAGTATCTTCTGAGCCTGCACCTGCTAGTGCAACTAAACAAGAGAAACCTGCAGAAAAGCCAGCAGATACACCAGTGGCTACAAGTCCAACATCAACTGACAGGTCAGAACTGATTCTAGGAAACTGTCTCAAAATACGTGTGTAACAAGAACTTATGCATCTATTTGTTTTGATTGTGGTTTTTGAACTATAAGACATAAGTTTGTATCTGTTTCGATAGTTTACTTAGGCGAATATAGGTACTGGAAAATTTCCACAGTGCATGTTTCTTTATTGTGGATCGATTGAAATTGGATGGGAAATGGTTCAAAGTCATTTTTTATTTTGAGTAGAAACATTAGAAAATATAAATGACCAAAAGGAACAGGAATTATAAAATGGCATAATGTTGCAGTCATTATTTGTATTTGACCTACATTCTGTCTGATCATTGGCACATGTATCGTAAGTATCTTTCCTCCATCAGTAAATATTTTTATTGCAGTATGGCATTGTGTTTAATTAGTTCTTTTTTCTTTTTTTTTCCCATAGTGTACATGTGCTTACTGGAGATAGAGACAGAGAGGAAAAGTTAGAAATAAGGGATGGGTACACCACAGTCCCTTTTCTATTCTTTTCTTGGAATTTTGGGCACGCACACATAGACACACATGTGCCTAGCGTGATTTTTTTTTTCAACCCGCCAGGTATGGGACTCGAATTGTGGTCGACAGTGTCGGAGTCCACATTGACCACTAAGCTACCTGTTGGTGTAATATTTCTTACCTCTTGTAACCTTAGGAAAACTAATATAATATCTTTGAGTTTTTCCTTCCTTTCTAAAGTGGATGGCATAAAATTGTTGTGAGAGTTAAGTGTCAAAGATGAAAAAGTAGCATGTGGTACATGGTAAAGTGATCTGTAAGAGTCAGCAGTTGGTATTTCATCTGACACCCTTTGTTGAACCTGTGGATTGTTTCAGATTCTCACTTGCTGTCATTTTGTAAACGTGTAGAAATTTAAGCTTCTGCCTATGTAGATCTTTAAAAAAAAAATGTGCTGGGTTATTTTAGAAGCAGGGAATAATTTATTGTGGGAAGTTGGCAGTTAGGATTATTGAGCAGATTTTTCTTCCTCTCCAAAGGATCAACAAAGTGACCAAACCAAACACTGTAGTTAGGCTTCTGTGGTTGGGAATCATACTGGGGACTCTACTAATCAAAAAGTTTGAACTTCATTATGGTTAGCCTTGCCTGACTGTGTGTTTTGTGACACGGTGCAACTCGGAATCGGACTTAGGCATGGTGGAAAAAACTGCACAGTTACTGGAAATATTTACTTACATAGAAGAGTGTATGGTAGATGCACAGTGATCAGAAAGAATGTGATCGTGATCCTACATTTTAGTGTTCTGCCTGATGGTTTTGGATGTCTGGCCTAGTCAGCCCTGTTTGGGGGATCAGAGTCACCTATTTGCCCAAAATTTCAAGAGGAGAACAGAGAAGGGGTTGCAGTATGGCCATCCCCTTGGGGGGGGGGTGGTGAGATGTCTCACTAATTGATCAGTATATTGTGCTAATATTGTGTTCTGATTTCTTTATTGTCTCTATTTTTGTTTCTTCTTGGGGGAAACAGTTTTATTTATCTACAGAGTCAAGGCTGCCTTTTTAGACCAACAAAGGTTGCATAAATGAATTAATGGGCAGTGATCCAGGAAAGCAGGCATTAGAGTTACTTAGTTGGACTTTGTACTCCAACTACTTAATTTTCTTTCTCAAATTTACGTTTCAGAGAATAGGGAAGGATGAGAGGAACTCAGAAAACAAGCTGCTTAAGGGTGCCTTAGTCTCTTTGTTTGTCCTGTAAAACATCTAGTATCCTATTAAATAGAAAACTTAGTGAGTAATTATTAAGAGATATGCTGGCTTGAATTTGGGATTGCTTAGAAAGTTTGTCTATCACTACTGCCTAATGTTTTGTTATGACAGATTTGTCTTTTGGGGTCAGTTTCGTTATTTAAAAACTACTTACTACAGTGCAAATTCCACCTGTTGATATCTACCTTAGAGAAATTTTGCTTGTGCAGAGGACTGTGTTATTTTGGAGGATGTACTGGAATCATCCTGAATGCCTTGTGGATGGGAACAACCTGACCTGTAGGTGGTTCACTACTCAGAAGTACAGAAATCCATTGCAGCAGTGGCTTGTCTAGGACTGTGTTTCTTAAGCCCTACCTTAGACCTCTAAGCCAGAATTTTCTGAGAGAGTCTTAGGCTTGCTAAAATTTGATAAATCCTAATATCTGGTACATAAATTTTAGGTCATTGAAAAAGTCATGACATATTTTTCTGTGTTTCTTTATGCAAATATGAGTCATGACTTTTCCGAAGATCCAGTATATTAAGTGAATATGATTTCAAGACTTTGTTATTGAGTGAAAAAAGCAGGTTACCGAACAATATAGGCAAAAAAACATAAAATAAGATGGTACTTTTTTTGTGGGCATATATGCTAATGTGTAGCAAAAAAGATAGCAGAACGACATACTAACTGATGGATGGTTTCCTCTGTGGGTAGGGCAGAGGAAGTGGTTACGCTGAATCACGATTGGAAACTGGTGGTTTAGGTGTACCTTAGTCTTAGCTTTAATGACTAAAAATAAATTTTTTAGACAATCTGTAAAAATTGTACAAATCATTCTGAGAGGGACCAGCCTATGGGATACTAAAATGTACACTGAAATTTTAAAAGTTTGTGGAAAAAAATAGAATTAAAGTATGAGTTTATTTTGTTACAAACAGTTTTGAAATCCAAGCACAGCTTTTTCATAATACCATTTTCTGTAACCTTTTTGAGGACCTCCTTATACAGAGTAATGATTAATTTTAGTTGATTTTAGATTCAGTTGACAGAGGCTCATTTTAGAAAAGGTTGCTCAGTGAAATAGACAGTGGTTTACAAATAGACCTGAATATGTATAGAAACGTTATCTAAGATAAAGGTTTAATTTCAGATCCCTGTAGGGGAAATGTTCCACCATTTGGAAGGAGAAATAGATGGATTCTCTTATACTGTACATACTCAGAAATAAATTCTAGTTGGATAAAGCTCTAATGTAAAACTACTTGAGAACAAGGGGAGAAATATGAATAATCTTGACTTGGGAATTCTCTCCTAAGCAAGAGAACCACACAATAGGGAAAACTGATTAATTTAACCATTGAAAGAATTTAAAAGTATTAAACTAAATCAGTATTCCTTAATAAGAGCTTGGCTTGGTCTGTTAAATGGAATACTGTGTATCTGTGAGAAGAAATTAAGGAATTTGATTATGCTGCCATAGAATTTTTTTTTTTTTGAGAGATTTTCGCTATAGGGCACGTGCGCTCACCAGACAGACAGAGAGAGGCATAGAGACAGAAAGCGAGAAATCACCCCCCAGGGGGAATGGTCATGCCACAATCCCTTCTCCTCCATTCTCCTCTCGGGATCTTGGGCACGCACGCGCCCACACACGCGCCTGGCGTGAGTTTTAAGCCACCGGGTCCGGGACGCAAACCGCGGTCGACTACGTGGGAGTCCAGCGACATAGCCATTACGCTAACTGCTGGTTCCCGTTGCCATAGAATAATTGTTAAGTTTAAAAGTTAAGTTTAAAAAGCACATAAACAGAAGCTAAAAAAAAAAAAACAAGACCCAGATGGAATCTGGTATAGTAGTGGTTGTCTCTGGGTAGAGGTCTTGAGCATAAATTACTTCATTTGTATATAAGGTTCTTTTGTGACATTTTTATAATCTCCACATGCTAGCTTTTCTATTTAGTTAATGAAGAAAGTTCCAAAAATTATTCCAAAGTATTATTTTCTTTGTTTTTTCCCCCCAAATATTATTTTAATCGTAACGATCATGTTGGCTGTTACGATGCCAGATACTTTACTAGCAGTAATCCTGCTCATAATACTTAGGGGTATATATACTGTTTTTGACTTCTTTCTGTTGATGAATGAACCAATGCTTAGAAAACCTTAAGTCATTTATGAATTTAAACTTGGGTTCTCTAGGTTTTGCTATGCTGACAAGGGCTTTCTTAGAACTGTAGTATAATGTGTTTTTGTTTTGAAAATTGGAGCAATGTGTGTTTTTTTGTGTGTGTGTGGTTTTTTTAAAACGTACTATTACCTATTTACCACTTCCGTAAACTTTAGTTTATTTTCTTTGTCTTTCTCTCATGGTCTTCTATGATATTTTTTATTTCAGACGCCTCTGCAGTTCTCCAACAAAAACTTTTAAGTCTTTTTAAACTGATTTTAAGTTAGAATTTGGATTTATCCCACCTCTGCCTTTTCTCTGTATACTGTATTTTTTTTTAATTTTTTATTCATTCATCTTATCTTTTAATTTGACCAGAAAGACACACACACACACACACACACACACACACACACACACAGAAAGTGAGAAAGCAAGCCACCAGGTCCGAGACTCGAACCGTGGTCGGCCATGTGGGAGTCCAGCGCCCTTATCCACCATGCCACCTGCTGGCCCCAGTATACTGTATTTCTTGATTTGAGTGTCTCCACTTTCAGCTTCCTTGTTCCAACTTAAAAGACCTTACTAAGTAAAGATATTTCCAGCCTAATTTGGTTTCTTTATGTTTTATTTTATTGTGTATTGCTTTTGATATTTCTTCTGCTGTGACTTGCTTTATTGATTATTTAACTTTTCATTTTAATTCTTTCAAAGAAATGTACATTATCTCTTTGTTAGGTAGATAAGCTATTTGTACAGAGTTTTATATAAACATTTAAAATGATGTATCCTCAGACTTAGGAGTATTATTAAGGTAGAAAATTTCCCCCAAACTAACACACACACACACACACACACACACACAGAAAGTGAGAAAGCAAGCCACCAGGTCCGAGACTCGAACCGTGGTCGGCCATGTGGGAGTCCAGCGCCCTTATCCACCATGCCACCTGCTGGCCCCAGTATACTGTATTTCTTGATTTGAGTGTCTCCACTTTCAGCTTCCTTGTTCCAACTTAAAAGACCTTACTAAGTAAAGATATTTCCAGCCTAATTTGGTTTCTTTATGTTTTATTTTATTGTGTATTGCTTTTGATATTTCTTCTGCTGTGACTTGCTTTATTGATTATTTAACTTTTCATTTTAATTCTTTCAAAGAAATGTACATTATCTCTTTGTTAGGTAGATAAGCTATTTGTACAGAGTTTTATATAAACATTTAAAATGATGTATCCTCAGACTTAGGAGTATTATTAAGGTAGAAAATTTCCCCCAAACTATAAATGATAGAGATAAAACTCTTGAGTACAGAAGAGACTCTTTAAATACTGTAGCCAGATTTTTATATTTAATTAAAAATCACAGGATCTATTTACAAGTCAGATAGTCATTAAGGATCTATTTATAAGTCAGATAGTTATTAAACTAAATGTAAATGAAATTTAACATACTTTTTAAAGTGTAATTTCTCTAAAACTTACAGTACATCAGGAGATTCTTCTCGGTCAAACCTTTTTGAAGATGCAACAAGTGCACTTGGTAAGTACCTGTTTGCCTTATACATAAGCTGTAAGAGAGAGAAGAGGTTTAAGTTTCACTTTTCTAACTCATGAAAATATGTTTACATGGTTGCTTAATATTAAGCTATAAAATAATTGAGGTATTTATTCAATTAATAGTATCAAAGACCTTATAAATTAATATTTCATGTATTGGATTATTTAAAACTCATTTGAGAGTTAAGCCTAGTTCTTTCCTTCAAGGAAATAATTTTCCATTTTCCAAGGTGGGAATTTTAAATGTGGTCTTAAAAAGGTCTTGATTTGTGTTCAGGTTTATTACCAAGTATCTTTGAAATGAGTTGGAATTTTCCTGATCTGCCTCATACTTCATGTGTATTCACCTCTGGCCTTCATTCCAACTTATTGGTGCTATAGGTTCCTATCTAGATCCTGTTATCTTTTTTCCCAGCTTTTACATTTTACCTATTGAATAATACATTTCTGTCTTATTTCACCCCTAATGTGTCAAAATCAGTCAGCTTTTGTTTCTCCCATTGCGTGTCTCTGCTAGCATTTCTGCCAAGTACTGGTTTACTGGCTGCAACTCTTTCCTCTGGATCTCCTCAATGGTGGGGAGGCAGAGGCTGGGCATAGGTGAAACTACAACTTCATTAGTGTGGCCTCTGGATTCCTACTTAGCTGCCGCAGCGGCAAGTTCCAACAGCAGCAGCACCACTTAGAGTCCAGGTTGGTCTTCTGAGTGGCCTGATGCCCTCATTGCCTTGGAAAATGGCATATGGTGGCAAAGTAATTGTTTAAAAAATCAACCTGGGCCTGCCTAGAGCTCTGCTGGTTAAAGGTGCTGGATCCCACATAGCTAACTGTGCAGTTCACATCTCAGCCTTGGGGGCTTAAGAAATACTCTACATGTGTCTGCATGCATGCCCCAAATCCAAACAAGATGGAGAAATGGAGGGAAAGGAATTGCAGCAATCACACTTCATGTGGGTGTTACCCCTCCACCCTACAAATCCACATACTGTTTAGCAGTTAGAAAATAAGTAAAAGTTCACCCTATTGATGTACCAAGTCCACCCTGCTACCAAATACTGAATCAGTTACTATCTAGTCAGTAAAATAGAAATCACTCTGTTTGAAAAAAAGGCTCACTCTTAGGAAATTGTTATAAAAGTATTGGAAGAGGGTTATCCAGAGATCACTAAACTGTTCTGTAGCCTCAGGGCTGGAGCCAGCTGGTAATGGCCCTAATGCTGCTGAAGGCTCCAGCTGTAGCTGCTGCTGCTACCAAGCCTCTAATGGAATGTCATACTTTTATTTATTTATTTATTTATTTTTTAAACAATTATTTTATTTAACTTTAAAAATTTATTATTATTATCATTATTATTTTCCAGTTTGATCAGAGAGAGACAGAGAGGAAGTGAGAAAGCAAACCACCAGGTCCAAGACTTGAACCGTGGTCAGCCATGTGGGAGTCCAGCGCCTTTAACCACCATGCCACTTGCCGGCCCTGGAATGTCATACTTTTATATCTGTGTCTCTCAGAGCACCTATTCTCAACTTTATGGTCTCAGGATCCCTTTACACTTTAGTTTAGTTTTGTTTTTTTTTTAAGTTTTTTGCCATAAGACAAATGTACTTGCTCGAGGGAGACAGAGAGAGGAAAGGTGAGGAATCACTGCCCCCGCCCCATCCCAGGGGTGGGTATGACCACACTGCAGTCCTTTCTCCTCCATTTTCTTGGGATTTCCAGTACACAGATAGATGCACCCAGCTTGAAAATGATGCTGCCAGGTCTGGGACTTGAACTGCAATTGACCTGAATTCAGCACTGTAATGGCCATGACACCAGTTAGCCCCCACTCTTTAACCTTTTATTACTTAGTCTCTATTTTATCTGATCTCTCTAGACTGTGGTTTAAAGTTTAAGCTCCGAAAGTGGCCATTACCACCCATATAATGTAAGGATTCTCCAAAATACAACTCCAATACAAATCTCCCTCTATGCTCCCAGACTCTTTTCTTTAAAATTGCCAACTAGAAAACCCAGAGCCACTATAAACTTTTAGGTTTCAGATGGACTTGTCTTGAGTCCATTCATTCATCTGACGCTTCTCCTTTGTTTCCTTGCTCACTTGGACTGTCATTCACCGTGTGCCTCTCTTGGTCCAGTGAGGCTGATTGATTCTTTTTTTCTTTTTTTTTTTAAAGTAAGATTTTTGGTATAGAGAGTGTGTATTCATTGGAGGGACAGGGAGACAGAAAATGACAAATCGGGGAATGGCCATGTCACAATCTCTTCTCTGTTCTCTTCTCGGGATCTTGGGCATAGTTGCACACATGCCTTGTATGAGTTTCAGGCTACCAGTTCCAGGACTTGAACTGCAGTCTACTACATGGGAGTCCAGCAATGTAACCATTACACCATTTGCTGGTCCCGAGGCTGATTGATTCTCAAACTCTCTGGAATACTTGTTTGCACTGCCACTCAAGTGGCCTTAGTTAACATTCTTACCTAACTTACGCTCTTGCATTCTCTTCCATCTGGTCTCTTCCTTCTTCCCTGTCAAGGTGGACTTTTTTATTATTACTGTTATTATTATTATTTTTTTAAGTTTTTGCCTAAGGGTAGGTACACTTATCAGAGAGAGATACAGAGAAAGAAAGTGAAAAAGCTCCCCCAGAGGGGATGACCATGCCATAGTTCCTTCTCCGTTATTCTCTTGGGATTTTGGGCATGTGTGCATAAGCCACCATGTCCAGTGCTTAAACCACACTTGGCCATGTGGGAGTCCAGTGCCTTACCACAACGCCACCTGCTGCCCTCCAAGGTGGACTTTATAAGGCAAGTCTTTTAGGCTTATTATTAGTTCCTTGAATAAGCTCTTCATGACCCAGAAGATAAATCCAAGGCTCATTTCTAATGACATGTATCATCACTGCCTTTTTATCTTACTAGCTTTATCTCTTACTCATTTTCCTCAGTTTTTCTCAGTTTTTATAACATGATTAGTTAGTAGATACAGGGGTTTTTTTGGGGGGAATGATTGGTTTGGGTTTTTATAAGAGTTTTTTTTTGTCTTAAGGCATGTCTAGTCATCAGAGAGACAGACAGATAGAAAGACACAGTGAGAGAGAAAGTCAGAAATCACCTCCCAGAGGGAATGGCCACGATGCAGTCCCTTCTCCTCCATTCTCTGTCTAGATTTTGGGGCACTCATGCACACACACTTGGTGTGCGTTTCAAACTGCCAGGTCTGGTACTAAAACTGCAGTCGGCTATGTCGGAGTCGAAAGACATAACTGCTACATCATCTGCTGGCCACAAGAAGATACAGTTTTAAGAGACATAGACTAATGATTAGATGTGAGGACTCTGAACTGACAGCCTATGTGTGTACCTTTGCACCATGACTTATCAACCATTGATACCGTTTTTTGTTTTTTTTTTTTTAAGAATTATTTTATTTATTGGTATTTTAGTCTTATAATTTGACCAGAGAGACAGAAAGTGAGAAAGCAAGCCACGAGGCCTGGAACTTGAACTGTGTTTGATCATGTAGGAATTTAGTGTCTTAACCACCACGCCATCTATTGGCCCCCTATTGATACTTTGGTCAAATGATTCATCTCTAAGCATCCTCATCTTTAAAAGATGAAAATGTGTCTTTCTCATTGGGTTGTTGTGAGAACTAAATGAGAAACATGCTAAAATAGTTTACTTCTGATGTTCTGTCTCTAATTTGCTTATGTTGATGCTAACTTCTGTATATGGGAACTAGGTTACTATACATACATAGCCACTGAGTAGCTTCCTGCTGGAATTACATCAATGAGTAAGTAAGAAGGTAAAAAATAGTAAGTTTTATGGATGGGAAATTAAAAAATGCTTAATTTGCTCAATGGTAATTGGGCTTTTTAGCTATTGAATACCTTTATTTTTGAAGATTCTGCAGAAAAAAATTACTTACTTACCAGATACCTAGTATCGGCCATGTGTTAGGGAAACGGATGTAAAGTGATTTAATCCCCTGCAAATCAAACCTGCATTCAGGTGCAGGAAAGAGAAAATATATAAAACAAAATAAACTGCAATTAGTAATAAATGACACTAAGAACACAAAGGGCTTCCAGAAAGCAAAGCAGAGAGCTTGTCAGGATGGCTAGGCACTATCTCTGATACTAAAATTTAGACTAGGACCAGGTGAGGGAACTACTTCTTGGGAACTCCCAAGGAGGCTGGCGTGTGTACAGACTCGGGCAGAATGTGGTACAGCTTGTTGAAATCACCCAGAGAAGATGAGTACACTGGGTCTCAGAGTACTGTTGAGGGCTGAGAATCTCAAGTGAGATGATATTTTCTTTATGAAAAGTCATTTTTACAACTAATTGATGAATGGATTGTTAAGTGTGGGGCAGGGGTGGAAGCAGGATGCAGCCCAGACCAGAGATTGCTGTGGTTTTGACTGATGGCAATAACGAAAGAAAGAATAGATGGATTTGGGTATTATTTAGAGATAGGGCCTGCCAGATACACTGGTAGATTAGGTGTGGACAGGGGTGCGCGAAGGAATTGGAATCACCAAGGTTTCTGGCTCAAGCATTTGGGTGGATAAAAGGTGCTGTTATTGGAAGAGAAGACAAAATACAGGGTAGCTTTTGTTGGGATTGGTTGAGGAATTGAGTGTGGTGTGAAGAAGTGGACATAGTATGTGTGGAGTAGAGCAGGTAAGGACTATTTCCTGAAAAGAATTAGATTTGGAGTCAAGGGAGGTGTGTTTTGCTTTAAAATGTCCCATAAGACATAGTGAAGTGCTGATCAGGATAATTAAGTAGAAAGGGAAGGATGGAAGGTGGAAAAGAGAGGATAGCCAAAATTAGTTCTTTGGCATGGCAGTAAAGGGCATAGTACCTAGAATACTAGTGGAATTAAAGGTAGTTCTAAGTGAGGTAAGTTCATGGGGCAGGGGAAACAGCTTTCTTTGGATCAGTGTTGTCTGCTATTATGAAAAAAGCTGAAATCTTCACCTGGAGGGAAGGATCAGAGCCTGTGGGAAATGACTTAATGGAATAACTGCGTAGGGCACTGACCAGCTTTGTGTGCTTATGAGATTTTAACTTTCTAGCTCCTGACTTTCTCTTCCCGCCTTCCCACTGTTTAGGTACTATGAGGTATCAGAGCAAAACTACAAGCTTGCTACATCAGAATTGATTGCTTGCTGTGTCCCTCCTGCTTGCTTTAAAAATTCAATTCCTCTGTCTCTTTTTAGACCTGCCAGTCATCTCCTACATTTGTAACTGATGTTTCTGTTGTGCCTGTGTAATGTTCTACCTTAGTTTGGTTCTGCTATGTAATTTACCACAAACTAAGGCAAAACAACACAGGTTTGTTTATATGGTATGGTAGTGTAGATTGCAAGTCTGACTTGGAGGTCACTGAGCTGAAATCAAGGGATTTTCTCTCTGGAGCCTGTAGGGGAGAGTGTTTTTTGGGAGGTTTTTGCTATAGGGTGTGTGCACTCGCCAGAAAGACAGAGACAAAGAGACAGACAGAAAGTGAGAAATCACTCCCAAGGGGGGATGGCCACGCTGCAATCTCTTCTCTATTTTCCTCTCAGGAACTTGGGCATGCGTGCACATGCTCCCGGCATGAGTTTAAGCCATTGGGTCTAGGACTCAAATTGCGATCAACTACATGGGAGTTCAGAGACATAGCCATTGTGCCAACTGCTGGTTTCAAGAGTGTGTTTCTTAAAGTCAGCTGATTAGCAACCATAATTATGTTGGTGACCATAACATAATCGGTGGTTTCAGGGATTAAGACATGGGCATATTTGGGGGACCATTATTATACTCAGTATATGCTATCATGTCATTTATACTGTTCAGCTTTGTGTTCCTAGCACAGTTGTGCATAAAAATGTGCACGAGTATTTGGTCAGGAAGTGTGTAGAGAATGTTTGTAAGTTTTTCCCCTCTCCCTTCTTCTTTAGTGACAGGTCAGTCTTACGAGAACATGGTAACTGAGATCATGTCCATGGGCTATGAACGAGAACAAGTCATCGCAGCCCTGAGAGCCAGTTTCAACAACCCTGACAGAGCAGTGGAGTATCTTTTAATGGTGAGAAATGTATTTTACCTTTTTTCATTCTAGTCATTTAGATGAACATTTCAAAGCAGTATTTTAAAAAGACAGATTAGAAGAATAATCTATCCCAGATAATTTATATAGTACTTTTATGAAATGATTTTAATTTATACCTGATTTAAAATTCTTTGCTAGTTGGAAAATCAGATATTTTGGTCTAGTGAGTGAAATTTTGAGATAGAAAAAAAAAATTAATCACTACTTTTAAAGTTTCTGAATTTTAAAATTACAATATAGCATCAAATACAAATAGGTGAGAGATGAGTTCATGAAATAGTTTCAAATGTTTTTGACATGTTTGCTATTTGTTCCATGGACTGAAAAGAAAGACTATTTTGGGGCCGACTGAGGGCAGGCATTGTGGTTAAGGTGGCTGGATCCCACATGGCCAACTTCACTGTGTGAGTTCTGGACCCGGCAGCTTGAAAAATACTCAGATGCATGTACCTGCATGCCCAAAAGCCTGAGAGGAGAATGGAGAAGAAGGGATTGTGGCATGGCCATCCCCTCCAGGGACGATTTCTTTCTCTCAGGCAAGCACATTTGCCATATAACAAAACTTAAATAAAATAAACAAAAATGTCTTTAGTGGGTACTCGTTAACTGTAAGTGAAAGTGAATGACTGGAAATAAATGCTGATCACTGACCTAATAAGGAGCTGTCTACCTTGTGTGAAAAATTGGAGGTGCATCTGTACAGTAATGATAGACTTTTATGTATAAGAAACCTGTTTGGGAATGTGATGGATGCTCTGGACCCTAAATCTGTTTAGAGTTAGGACTTAACTCCTCATCTATATATTTGAATTTGTGAACTCTCTCAAAAACGCTTGTTCCCAGTATCTAGAGTGACATTAATGTAGGTAGCCATTACCCTGCTATTCTTTACCTTTCATTCTTCATATGTGTAAGAGTTTGGCTTCAGATTGACTAGGAAATGGTAGTATTACCATGTTTTATTCAGTTACATTTCCTTCATTCTCTTCTCAAAATCTGCAAGAGACTTTTTTTTAATAGTTGTAAGGCAAGAAGTCTGTAAATTATGTGCTTCCCCTCCAGGGAGGATGACCACACTGCATTTCCTTCTCCTCCAGTCTCCTTTTGAGATTTTGAGCAAGCAAGCACATGGACCTGGCATGATTTTCTTTTTCTTTTTTCTTTCTTTCTCTCTCTCTCTCTTTTTTTCCTTAGAGAGTTGTTTTGCTGTAGGGTGTGTGCATTCCCCAGAGAGACAGAGAAAGACAAAGTGAGAAATCACCCCCTGTGGGAATGGGCATACCTGCACATGCACCCAGCGTGAGTTTTAAGCCGCTGGATCCAGGACTCAAACTGCTGTCGACTATGTAGGAGTCCAGCAACATAACTATTACACCACCTGCTGGTACAGCGCCCTGCATGATTTTCAAGCCGCTGGTTCAGGGGCTTGAACCACGGTTGGTCAGGTGGGAATCCAATGCCCTTACTACTATGCCGCCTATTAGCTCCTTTTAGTACACTTTTAAGCTGTAATAACTTCAGAAGATCTACATTTTAGACTTCAAAAATTCATTATCTAAAAGCTAAGTTATTTAAATTTTTAGTATCTACTTTATATTTAATAAATGTATTGTGTGGGCGTGTGTGTGTAACACCTTCTGGATAATTCTGTCAGGGCTCTCAGTAAAGGAGATTCTTCTGCATGGCCACCATGGTTACCTGATGTATGTTTCTATTACACTTTTTTTTCCCCGGGAGTCATTTCAGAACTGTCCGCTATCAAAAGCTTTGGCCGATATTAAGACTGTGATTACAGACGCATTTCTATTACTGAGCAGCAGCTGATGAAAGTTTCGAAGACTTTGAAAAAAATCAAGAGTAACATGTAGCACAAAATCCTGTTTATGATCATTTTGAATGAGAACTGTGTCGATATTTTCCTTCATGATTATGTGTGTGTCTATGATCGAGCACAAGAAATAGATAAACACCTTCTGGAGTCTGATCATAGCCCAGTCTCTCCTCCAATCCTCTAGTCCATTGGATCTTGGACACTTACATACCTGCCCAGCTGGTTTGAGGCCAATAGGACCAGAGATTTGAACCAGACTTGTCATGTGGAATCTGGGTTTTTTAATTATTTTGAGCAGCGTATTATTGCTGTGCCACAGCTGGCCCAATATTTTTTAAGCATAAATAATTAGATGTGGCTAATAAGTGTCTTACTGGAGTACACAGGTTAGAGAACATTTCCATCATTGAGGAATTGGACAGTACTGCCTGGTTTACAGCATTGTGGGTTCTTTTGTACCACACCCAGGCCGTTTATAACCTAGTTCAAATCCATGCTGTTTAGCCATTTCTTACTTTTCATGGAAGCAGTCATCTTTTTGGTGCTTTTGGAAATTAGACAAGGATAGTAAATAGACTATAAATATTATATGTAATACTTTTGTACGATGGAATATTTTAAAGCTTGGAAATTATGTTGTAGGGAATTCCTGGAGATAGAGAAAGTCAAGCTGTGGTAGATCCCCCTCAAGCAGCGAGCACTGGAGCGCCGCAATCTTCAGCAGTGGCTGGCGGC